TTGTTCACCATTTTTTTTGTTTTTTTTGCTCTTTTTCACTCTTGTTGGCGGTGTTATCCCATGGTAAATGCATATTTCATTCTCACAGACTGTGATTAACGAATGAAACAGAGCCCCTTTTCGGAGATGGAATTGTCCTATAACAATGAGTTTTGAAGAGGTTTATTAGTAGTAACATGTTTTTTTTTAATGAATAAAATGAATGTCCAATTAAAACAAATTCGGACCTTTACATTCGCAACCAAAAACCCATAACAATTTTAAGTTTTCAAAAATAATAATAAAAGTAAATTCTTATAATAAGGGTGATTATCTAAAGTATTTTATGATTTGATAACAAATTGAGAAATTAATGTTTCATATCAAAAATAGTAAAAAGATTGTTCTAAAACAAGGTTTTGACTTTTGAGTGTAAAACGCAACCTCCTCACACTTGAGCTGGACCTCGCCCTCGAGGTCTTCTTTTGAGGCACAAAATTGGGAAATAAAGGCACATTTTTTTTTTTTTGGGTTCTTTCCTCACACTTGAGTTTTGAAAAGATTTTGTGAAGAGGAATAATGAAACAGGAATAAAAATCATTACATCATTCATAGTCAGTTTGTAAGAGCAATTAAGTCAAAAGAGCGGCACAATGTCCAACCTGAATAAACAAACAAACACAATAAAATGTTAAGGAAGAAAACTAAGCATCACTCGTGTCCTCCCGTAAGGCCTAAGCCAAACTCTTATTTCATCAACATTGAAGCACACCCTGCAAACACACAAAACAAACAAACAATGTTATGAAAAACATGGGTTGCCTCCCAAGAAGCGCTTCTTTAACGTCACTAGCTTGACGTTTGAGAGAGAACTCTCAGCTATGCATGTCAATTGTGGGGCACTCATCATTAGTGCTTCCACCTTATCCTCCAGGTATGCCGTCAGATGGCGTAGACCCTCAAACTCTCGTGGCCACCAAAATGTGATATAATCTTCAAAGAACACATCGTTCGAACAAGAAATTAGCACATATCCTGCATCACTCTCATTAGTATAATCAACAAGTATTTCAGGATCAGGGGCCTCAGGTGCCTGAAATCGCTCAAGTGGGACCACCATGGTAAGAACATTACGAGTAGGCTCCTCCTTTTGGGTTTCTTCTTCTTCAACTATGGCCTCGACATTTACAACACAAAATTCAAACTCCGTGTCACTCTCTAAAAATCCATCCCAACTTCGCTCACTACTCCCACAAATATCATCTAGGCAAACAAGTCCTTGCCTAGCACAATTATGCTCATCATCATTAAGTAGAGAATCAAAGAAGGCATCATCGGGCATTGTTTCCTCCACATCACAAGTTTCATCAACTATTTCAACAGGCGCTTGGGTTTGTGTAGGATCAAAATCATCATCAAGGCTATCCTTCAGGGACTTTTTAAATGAGAGGTCATCCATAGATGGTAGGGTAGGTTCCTCATCACAAAGTATCTCATCATCTATGATTTCTTCATCAACCTCATTGGGCACTTTCATATGGGGCTCTTGAGAACTAAGTTCTACGAGGATAGGCTCTCTCTCAGTAGCAATGAGAGGCTCGAAAGAAATAGGGGTGAGAAGAGTTTCAACCATCTCGCCCATGGTTACCGCAACCTCCTCCTTAGATTTAGCACCCTCCTCGTATGTCTCCTGTTGAACCTTGTGGTCATTGTCATAAATGATTTTTTCAAACAATTCCTTGATACTCTCATCATGAGATGCTAGTTCAATCCTTGTCTTTCTTAAGTCTTCCACAAAATCAAGTAAGGACGATTTTAACTCTTCGAGTTCGTGTTGAGGATAAGGTGAAATTCCAGAGTCACCCTCGTAGGAGTACTCGTTTGTGCTGGTGTAATGATTTTCTAGCCTTTCTTGGTAATTTTCATGATAATTAAAATCATCATGATAATTACCTTGATAGGAGAAATCATCACAGCCTTCAAAGTCTTGCCCTTGGTGGAAATAATTATCTTGAAATTGGTAATCTCCATACCCCAAAGGTGGATTTTCGCACCATTGATTGTTATCCTCATAACCTTGTCCATAGTATCCTTCATTTTGATTATTTTGAAAAGATTGTTGTTCATAGTATGGATAGTGATATGGTGGTTGAGAATTAAAGTGTTCACTTGAGTAATCCATGAGAAAATCTCAAGCAAACACGTGAGAACAAAAAAAAGAAAAAGAAAGTCTCCCTAACTTGAATTCGCCCATGCTAAAATCAAAATCAAGAAATCACCGTGCCATTCCCCGGCAACGGCGCCATTTGATATCCGCCGGCGCCATTTGATATCCGCTTTCGCGGCGTTGTAGTAAAACGGAGTCTAACCTTTCGGTTTTTTCCGAGTATCGTGTCTCTCGAGGAATGGCGGAGGAGCTTCTTGATTTTAAGTCCAGTCACAGGTTATCGCAAATTATTGGAAGCTTTCCAAATTAAAACTTTTGATTGATTTTCTAAACTACTTTTTGGAAAAGAAAGTAAATTAAATTGTGCAAATACTAATGATGGCTCAAAAATAGACTAAAAGAAAAAATATAATATTAAACTTAAATGGATTGATGCAAATAAGGGCAATGAATTGAGTAATTAGAAATGGATATATTCTTGGACCTAGTAATTAGGGAAATTAAAACTAAAATTGGACTAATAATTTCTTTCCTCATAGACAAGAATAGAAACTATTTTCATTAATTTATCCTATTTATAGGTGTCATTAATGTGTTAAAAAATGGTTGGCTTGAATTAAATTCTAACCTCATAGACAAGGTAGAAATAATTCTCCAATATTAAAAATAGCCAAATTCATTAACTAGTTAAACTCATTATTTAAGCAATTGAATTTATCTCTCATAGACAAGATGTAAATCCCTTTCATTAAATTATACTATTTCTAGGCCTTATTAATGTGCTCGAATATGGTTGGCTTAAATTATTTTCTAATCTCATAGACAAGTTAGAGATAATTTTCCAAGAATTTAATTAATGAATATGGCTAACAATTATTAATTACTATTTCATCATTTCAAACAACTAGTCCCCATTATTAATTTTAATCCCTAATTTTTTGGTCAACAAGTCAATCCATATTCCTTTAGTCAATTCATGCCCAAAACAATTTTAGCTAATAAAGATCATTTTAACAACTAACAATATAATGAATATATTCAGCATTAACAAGGAATTAAACATGGATGATAGCAAAACTTATATTCTGGAACAATAAACTTGTAGAAACTGAAGTATAACTTTCTGGAATTTTTCACGAATTTTTGAACCTAAAATCCAATTTTAACAACTAGTTGATAATTTTCCCAATTTTAACTAGAAAATGCAAAAAGCAACTAAAATTATTTTAAATTCGTTCTAAATTTTATATTGACTACTGGGAGTGATATTACTGTGAATTAAACTAGAATTAGGACAGAAACTAATTTTTTTTCCTTTTTGAGTATTTATTTAAATTTAAGCAATAATATCAAGTAATTACCGAAATTAATTAAAAATTACTTCTACTTCGTGAAAAATTAATTTCTTCAGATGAATAACTACCTTGAGGCTAGTGAACAACTATATAATTAATTGGAATGAATTCAACAACAATAACTATTTTATTTAATTTTTGGAAGGAAATGCGAAATACTTGAAAAATAATCTGGAAATTTTTGAAGAACAGATCGAAGAAACAAAGCACAGATTCAGATTCTACACGTTGAGAAGATGAAAATACATATAAAGAACTTACAATTTGGAGCTAAAATGAAGATGATATGAAGATTTGAAGTTTCTCTCTCTCTAAAACCTTTGGAGCTCGAAAATGGAGGAAGAAAGAAGGTGTTTTGAACTGATTTAGGATTGGAAGAGGTGTATTTGAGTTGAGGAAAAAGCCTGGATTTTATAGCCGAAAAATTCCCGTAGGCGCCCGGGCAGGCGGCCGCCTTCAGGCAGCCTCTGGCCGCCTGCCGTCCTGTCGCCGGCAGACCGTCGGTGGCGGTTCCGTCAGCCGTAGGCGGCCACAGAGGGCGGCCGCCTTCTGTCAAAAATGGCCGCCTGCCATCTTTTCGTTGGCAGATCGGATCCCGACGGATCCCGGCGGACCCCGGCCGCCGCAGGCGGTCCAGCAGGCGGCCGCCTGCCGTCCTGTCTGGCCGCCTGCCGTCTTGTCTGGCCGATCGGTGGTTGGTTTCGTCCCCTTGTGCCGCAGGCGGCCACCGTAGGCGGCCGCCTTCTGTCCAGTGTCGGCAGCCTTCGGTCTTTTCCTGGTCCCGAGTCAAAGCGAGGTTGACTTCTGAATTTTCCCGTAGGCGGCCGCGAAGGCCTCCATTTTGGGCGCCTATTTGGGCGCCTTCGGCCACTTTTGTCTGGCAGATGCGGCTTTTCTTGCTCTTCAACTTTGTCTTCTGAATCACCTTGATAAAATGCTTGCTTCTTCCGGTATAAATGCATTTGTCACTCAAATTGACTCATTTTGTGCTCAATTGACCCGAAATCTCGCTAAACATATTATGGATGTGATTTTTACCTGATTTCATGAAACTTGAACCAAAATATATAAAATGTGTCTTTTCTTTCTATTTTCATTCAAAAATCGCTTAAATTTGATAAGAAAAATAAGTACAAAAATGGACTTATCAGTGGCTGATGCTACTAGAGGTGGATGTTGGTAGGGAGTAAAGACGCAAGGTGACAAATAATCTAGAAAGACGAGATTTTATAAAACAAACATCAAATCTCTCCATGCCTCCTATGCTAAAGGAAGCTAGTATTTATAACCTATGAAATATTTAAGGCAGATATAATTAATAATCAATTATTTATGATACATTTCTATCGTGATCTATTGCTAGAATCTTTCATTTAGGCAAATCTGATTGACTGCGATAGTTTGATTGATTCTCTGATTTCTTTCCTTCTGTGGAGGTTTCCTTGATTTGCTCTATGAGATGTAGAAGAGGATAATGCGCACAGAACACAAAGAGCTATTTTAGAATGAAGCACTTATCTCAAAAAAAAAACTTTAGATCGTATTAGGTCTAGCAATTTTCGTTGATTTACAAATGTTCCCAAGAAGGGCCCTGTTTATAGGTTTAGGATGAGCTCTCTAAATCCTCGTGACATCATAGGAATCTAGAGATCTCTTGAATTATATACTTCTAGATTCTACATAGAATTCTCCCATCTTGAAATCTCTAAAATACATGTAGCTTCCCTTGGGTAATCTCTCACGCTTTCGGTAGTAAGTGCAGTTTTTTTATGGATATGCCTTGCCAAGACAGTGGAGCAACACTAAGGTGACTCTCAATAGCTCATAAAACCCAGAAAACAAACAGCCTTAACGTGCTTTCCCCTTCAAACATAGAGTTAATATTGTTTAGACCAATGGCTCACATAGCAGATACTAAACCGATAAGAACAGATAAAGGCCACAAGTGGTCCAGCAAGCACATGGGGAAACAGAAATTCAATCCTTCTATGATGATTACTCACATATCCATTCGAATCGAGTGCTACAACATGTTCATCACCAGCAGACACACGAAGAAGATGAATGCCCTTCCTCTTGAATGATTGGATTTCCCTTGGGTGAAATTCATTGAGCTGCTCCCCATGGCCAAGGCAGAAATTGGAGCCCGATCCAAAAGTGTAAAGTGACCCATCCAAAGCCACAGAAAGGGCGTAGCTTGGTCCAGCAGCAATTTGAACGACAGTACAAAGGAATGCAAGCAGTTCTACACATGTAGGTGTTGGCCTATCCATTGTGTCACCATGACCAAGCTGACCATGAACGTTGGATCCACATGTGTAGACGCGTCCGTCTCTGGTAAGAAACATGGTGAAAGTAAGACCAGCCGCAACCTGAACCAGTTTCAACAAATTTTGAGCCACATATAGCAGAACCTGGACTGGTATGCGAAACTGATATTAATCGCAATTGTATCTATATTGATGAATAAAATATAAACTCATCCAGCATTTATAGAAAATTTGAATCACAAGATTATATTTTAGTTCATTTTAATAAAACTCAAGCCATATGATTTAAGCCGCAACTTAGGGAAATCCCATTAGGAGTATATGTACCTGTTTGCAGGGGATGTGCTTCAGTGACTCTACAAGCTGGGGCCTGAAAATAGTGCGACTTCTGTGCCCGCAACAATAGGACGAGTTATCTCCACAAGTGAATACCTATATAGAATTGGCTAAGATTTATATCCAAATAATGGCATGTCTGGTTGGACCTAACTCGTGCTAAAAGATCCTGAAGACATGAGGTTTATCTCAAACTTATGTACTAAACACAATTAAGATAAAGTGTTCAATGTAAGATTCTTAACGCAACCACTAGGCCAAAAACAAGCTAGACCACTTGAGAGGATGGGTAAAATGTGCCAAACTGACCTCAAACTGAGTTAGGCTACTTGGGTGTCCAGCACACAGACAAAGCACAATTGGATCATATCATATTAAATTGGAGCTATCTCACACCAAAAACGATCATCGAAAGCTGAGGTTTACCTCAAACTTATACTCCGTATAAGACACAAACCTCGTAAACAAACTTATAAAAAACTTTTAGCACCATGATCCCTATCATGGAAGTACAAAATGTTTGTCCAGCTAGTCAGCTACTATGATCAGACATTCAGAAGTATACACAAAGTCACATATCTTACCGTTTATGAAACAAATAAAAAGAGAATAATATGACCGCTACCATGTCAAATAAAGAAAGAGAGAAAATGGCTCTCTATCCTTACACAAAACACTCAATGAAGTTCTAAATAAGTTCATGATGTAGGCCTTTGATGATTATGAGCATGAACACACCAAGTATTAAGAGCTAATACAGTACTAACCTCCCCAGACTGGGTCACAAAAGCAGCATGATTGTGGGAAGCTGAAACCTGGATGACTTGTACAGGAAAAGCGAAGCTGATGCGTGTAAATTCTACACACTGTGTTTTTTGAGGCCCATGACCAAGAACACCACACAAACTAGAGCCACAAGAGTATACTGCCCTGTCACTAACCATCAAAGTATGATATCTTCCACTTTTAATTTGCATCTGTCGATGACATGTAGTAATTATAAAGACTCAGAGTTTGGAGTTCCTCTTAAAAGGTAGTTCAACACTTTATATGTGAGTTTCTATTTGTATATTTGAATAGTATGGATGACTTGGTACACAATATGGTGGCTCATTGTGGTAGATCATTCTTAAAACTAGTATGCACTTTAGGAGTCTTAACGATTACTCGATTAGTCCGGTCATTTGAGATTGATTGATTCAAATATCATACTCACTCCTAATTATTTACTTACAACGTATTCCTTTTTCAAATAATGTTTTATTACCTGCAACACTTTCTTATTTTGGTAAATTTTTCATCTACAAATACATAACTACTACTACTTCTTCTACTTAGTCATACATGCTCATCTCTCCTTTCCAACATTTAGCACTTTTCCTAAACTATTAACTAAATCTACTATTTCACTCTTAAACTTTATAAAAGTCCTGTAGTTGCAACTTGCAAGTAAATAAATTCCTAATATTTCACTTTTAAAATCCACAAAACCCTACAGTTTCAAGTAAATAATTATGGAGGGAGTATTAAACTCAAGGTCAATTCTTAAAATGTCAACTTTTATGAATGGTCTAAAACCTTAAATATGTTAGTCTATAATCATCATTTCCGAAAATAAGAATTACAAGCAAAAAATAGTTAAACCTCAACATAAATAAGAAAAAAATTCACTTCTGGTTATACAAATATTGTACCGATCCCAGATTTGATCGTTGTTTTACTTTGGTCATATTTGCTACATGACTATTGTTCTTCGCCCACTGTTGGTCATTCCGAGATACTGTGGGCATATATTCTATAAACAATCTATAATCCCAAAGCATGCTTGATGAATTAAAAGATGTAGCTTGCATGAAATAGTACATTGCCTGCAGGGGTTTCAACCATGCCAGATGATTGCTCCACAGACTGCAAGAAGCCCAGTAAGCGTTTCCAATTTCCACTACACCGATCCAGAAGATCTTCCCTAGCATTGACCGGAAGAGAGGTATAAATGAGGTTCGAGCCACACAGCTGAAAAGCAGCACACTCTAAAACCGACATCATGTTTTTAGGGAACATCCCATGACTTGGCCTGAGAGCCCTCGAACTCATTTCCAAAGACACTAAATCGATCGCATTCAATCGACCCAACGTCAGGATTTGAAGAACCAAATGCTCCGGCAAGTCTTCAAACTGGTGAGCTGAGCTCAATAAATTGTCCCCCATTTCTATCCACAAAATCAAAATCCGAAAATTGAACTAAATTAAAATAACATGAAAGTTTCCAGAAGTGGATGAAAGCGCGTCAGCCCCAAAAAAAACTGTCAAAACTTCTTAAACGAGAACGGAGAGGACAGCAGAGAGTTTAAGAATAAAACATCATATTTCACGAAATTCGATTAAATTGAATTGAAAACCTCGGGTGTAAGTAATCTCGAGGGCTCTCATAGCTGAAAAGCTAATGAAAAGAAAGAAACAAAACTGAAAAACTTTACGGAGTAAAACTGCAAAATAATTCTCCATAATTTAATTTAAGGGACAAACTGTCAATTTAGCCCCCGTACTATAATGAAAACGCCGATTGGGTTCCCGTACTTCAAAAACACTCAATTGAACCCTCGTACTACTAAAAAAACACTCAATTGAGCACTTTTAGAAGGTCACCAACCGTTTTCCCCGGTTAGGTACACGTGTGGCACTCCACGTGGCGGCTCGTGTGGCATTTCTTTTCTTTTTTCCTTTTTATTTTCTTTTTCTTTCTCTTTCTCTTTCTCTTTTCTTTTCTTTCCTTCTTCTGCTTAGCGTACTGAGCCGTCATAGCCGGTGAAGCCATTGAAGGAATTCAGGGATTGCCGACATCATGGGGGTTGCTCTTGTTCCAGAGTTCTGTTAGACTTGGTGACATCGCAGAGAATGGAAGTGTACCTTCCGGCAGCAAATTAAACCAACACAGATGCAGTCGTTGCAAAGGCGGCATAATAACTAGCTATGGCGGCTTAATACCCAACTATGACGGCGTAATACCCAGCTATGGCCGCCGCAGACATTGCGAAGGCGGTTGCAGTCCCCAAGGATGATTGGAATTCCCTGAATTCCTCCCCTCTTGTGAAACAGATCTACGAAACTAGATTTGGCGAACTAGAAGAGATAAAGAAATAAAAGAGAAGAAAATTTGCAACTTGAGGATGAAGAAAAGGAAATAAGAAATCACTCTGGAAGACTGATTTGCAGGAGGCCGGCGACCTGGGATCTGGGAAGGAAGAAAACGGGAGTAAAGAAAGAAGAAAGAAAGGAAAAGTAAAGGAAAAATAAAAAGAATAAGAAAAAGAAAAAAAATGCCACCTCTTCTGCCACGTGGAGTGCCACGCGGGTACCTAACCGAGAAACCGGTTGGTGACCTTCTAAAAGTGCTCAATTGAGCGTTTTTTAGTAGTACGAGGGTTCAATTGGGTGTTTTTGAAGTACGGGGGCCTAATCGGCGTTTTCAGTATAGTACGGGGGCTAAATTGACAGTTTTCCCTAATTTAAAATACTAGATCCAAGAATCGTACAGATTTAAATGTTGGCAGATTTTTCTCCGGTGATGGGAGCTGGTGGTGCTGGGGTGGCAGGTGTGACAATGTTTTTTTTTTAATTTTACGTTTTTTAGTTTTTATTTTTTTAAAAAATATTTTTTTATTTAATAAATATTTTATTAATTTTGTATTATATTTTTACGATTTTTATTATTTTTTATGATTTTATTATTAATTAAAACATTTCAAAAGCTACAAGGGTATATATTTGTCCAAACACACATAAATAGTCCTATTAAGGGAATTTAAACAATGTAGTCCTATTTGTGCAATTTTGCCACTTTTTAGTCATGTTTGGGGAATTGACTCTTATATTTTTACTTGTGTCTGGAACGAGATAAAATGAGTTTGTTTTAGTTTTATAGTGTGTGTGTGTGTGTACTGGCATATGTATGAGTTATTAACTCATTATAAGTTATAACTAACAAAATGTCACTTATTTATTAATTACGAAGTATAACATTGATTGATAATGCATATTTATTAATTATTTCTTATTTTTTAAGTAATTATTGAAACATGTTCTCAATCTATATTTTTATTAAAAGAGTAAAGTTTTCTATAACTCTCGGTTGCATCTAAATGAACATTGTCTTTTTTTCAACCATCTTTACCTAAAAAAAAGAAATTCCATAATGCATATTTGTATCCATTAAATTTCATTTGTAGCTTACTCTTCTTTCAAAACTAATAACTACGCATTTCTGTAATTTATTTATTTAATAATGGGTGGGGTCATTTTTTTCAAGATATAGTCTTTCTATGATTTAGAATTGAGCAAATTAATCATTTATCTCATTCTTGAAGAAAAGAGTTTGGAGTATATAGTTTTGTAACATTATGATTCTAATGAGGTTGATGGCGACGACAACATGCCGGCTGCATAACGCGATTGGTAGCAGTCGATTTATTTTTCGTTAATAGATTGAGCTATTGAGGATATTGTGACCTTATTAAGTAAAATAAGTGTTTGATAGATAGTTTATATCGGGATACCACTAGCAGTATCGAGAGAGAAGTCAGAGCTATAAGTAAGAGGGAGAAAGTGTGGTATAAATAAATAATCAATGGTCTGTTACAACTGCCCAAGGCGCTTTTTATACTAGTCTTAAATGTTAGGTGCATTAAATGCATGTACACGTGTAAGTTAGTCTATGAAGGAAAGCCCCCTGGTTGTGTGGGTGGTTGGACGGTAGACACAGAGGAGCTTCTGTTGAGGGGGGGGGGGGGTCGGTACCGTGGCCGAACGTTGTATGACCGAAGGCTATCATGATGAGGTAAAATCTCCAGGCGTATTGCCTGGCCATAATGGAGTGGCGTCCCTGAGTTTGGGGCCTTCGACCATGGTGCCGAAGGCATTCCTTTTGCGAGATTCGGGCTGCATTGTACTCATGCTGCCGTATTCGGGCCACCTGGGCTCATTGGTCCTGTTTAAGGTAGCAAAAGTATGTGGGTCGGAGGTTCCTGGGCTATATGCTACATCAGGAGTCACTCACTCTCTTTTCTGAGAGCTTCTCGAGGGAAAGGGAAGTAGTTTCTCTGAATTTCCCGGAGGTTTTATTGTTGCTGTTGATATTCCTGAATTAGTTTTGACATTTTTCGCTTTTTACCGAGGGGAGTCCCCCAACCCCCCACTCCTTGAGGCCAAAGGCATGTTCAGGCTAAAGGGGTTCTTGCTTCGGTGATGACCCGAGGGTTGTACTGTTGTTGCTGGTGAGGGATGTCTGTCGAGGTCGTTCAGTTCCATGGGGTGACCGTAGGAATGTTACCGTTGGGAAAGATGTGCACGTGTCATATGATAATAGGCGCTCGCTGGGCGGGGCTTCCTAATTGGGCTGAGGCGACGATTCATCATGGTGGGCTTTAATTTTAATTGGGGGGGCATGTTCCGGGTTTAACCCTGGTTTGGGTGGTTATAAATACCCGTCTGACTCATTCTCCTTGTGCGTTTGTTGTTTTGAAGCGAAGCTCTGCCAATTTTTCTAGAGAGAGAGGCATTACTCGATCAAACCCAACTTCCCGAGGTCAGCTCTTCCCTTGTGTTCTTGTCGTTTTCCCATATTTTGCTTCCTTCCTTTTAGAAATAGTGTTATTCCACCATGTAGTTCGCCTTTAACATATTTCCCTTCGATATACCAGTCGACAGCATGTCTTCCGAGTGCAACTCCCAAAACATATCTAAGTCGGCGTCGGTCCAATCGAAGACTTGGATGGGGGGGAAATCTTCGAGCCCTCAGTCCCCGTCGCAAGCTGATTCAGAATTGGCCAAGAAGGTTGAGAGTCACCTTAGGACCAAGGCCGAAGCTGAGGACTTCGAGCAGCAGGAGGAGAAAGAGTGCCTTTAGGTGACTATCGCCATCCCTTCAGCGCGTGTAGAGGATGGCGGGACTTCCCAACCACTATGTCTGGAACTCCTCTGAGCTGCTCTAGTGAAGAAGAAGTGTGTCAAAGGACCTCCAAGGGGTAAGCAAGCCACCGTGGATGTCGGGCAACCCGTCGGGATACCCGAGGGCGACTCCTACCTTAATACGACCACCTTAGTATTGAAGACAAAGGCTGACGATGTTGAATATCACATGACCCAGTTCTATGCTGGCCTGCCAACACTTGTGGTAGAGCCCGGGCCTGATGATGTTTTGTCTCGCCCCCCGAAGGGTGCTTCGCGGTCCACATTCTCTCGATCGCCTTCGGCCTCCGATTTCCTTTGCACCTCTTTGTCCTAGAGTATCTCAGATTCGTTGGTCTCGCCCCGTGTCAGCTGACACCGAACAACCACTCTTATCTTGTCGACTTCTTGTACCTTTGCCGAACCCGGGGTGTGGAGCCGAGCCTTGACCTATTTTTCTCTTTGTGATAGCTTCCGCCTGGAAATTTTATCCTCTCAATGAAAACACCATTTGATGGATAATCGATACCCATATTGTATAATTTAGGAGAGAGACCCATAAAGAGTAGGAATAATAAAGAGACAAGAAATGGAGGAGGTAATGTGTGTAATGTTGAATGAATTGATTAGGATTCACAATGACTCCCATAAAGAGTATATAGAGAGAGATAGCGGGGTCCAACCACTAAAATGGACTCGATAGGCTCAACTACATAGAAAGACGAATAATAAAAAAGGTCAATCTAGAATATTTGAATAATAATAATGTGAATTATATCCGCTAAGCGTGTGTGTGGACCGTTGTCCAAGCCCAATAGTCGGCAGACCAGGGGGTCGGAGTCCATATACTCCATCATTGTTTTTGAATGAAAAAAGTTTGCATGCTTTAGACTTTTAGTAGACAATTTTTATCTATAAGGTCACCTGAATTAAATCTATAAAAAGTTTCTCACGTCAAGTGGCAGGTAAGAATCAAAACATAAACATATCAAACACTTAGATTTCGTTTGATTACATTGAACATGGCTGAATCAGCTGATTATGCTATTATTGATTAAGTTCTAATTGAATATATTTAAAATATATTTTATTAATAAAATATAGAAAAAAAAAATATGGAAATAATTAAATGGTCTTTTGAAGCAATTTTAGTCAATTCAATCAAAAAAATAACTTTAATCTTACTCATTTTGATGATTACACTATTTAACACACAAAATTAAACATAAATACCCGATTAGGGAAAAAGTTGATTGAGAAGACTCTTAAATAAAAAAGGAAAAATTGACACGAATAATCCCACCTTTCATCGGTCTTCTCATAATAATCCCACCTTTACGTAATCCCAGAATAATCCCACCTTTGCACCCCATCTTCTTTCATTGGACCCTGACCAAGTTTTTTACTCTCTTTTTGAAAATCATATAAATAATCTCACATTTCACTTTTTTATTATATCTTTATAAATGTGAGATTATTTATATAAGATATTCAAAGAAAGGTAAAAAACTTGGTCAGGGTCCAATGAAAGAAGATGGGGTGCAAAGATGGGATCATTTTGGGATTATTTAAAGGTGGGATTGTTATGAGAAGACTAGTGAAAGGTGAGATTATTCTTGTCAATTTTTCCAATAAAAAATGATTGAAAAGACTCTTACAGTAATAAATCATTGAAAAATGATGTCAAGATTGACTGAATCGATCGATTCTGTTGAAATTTATGAAGTTCTGGTTGAAGTGGTTGCATTGGTTAGTTGATTCTGCTAATTTGTGCAAAAAAAAATTATATATTTTATTAATAAAACAAAGAAAAAATTACATAGTAAGTAGCTAGAATGACCTCCTACGTAAGTCCAGTCAGAAAAGTAAGTTCAGCACTTCAGTTAATACGGTCAGAAAAGTAACTTCAATCTTACTCTTTCTTATTATTATACAACATGTTTTCAAAATTTATGTGTTTGATAAAACTATTGATGGATAAATCATTCTACATAATTGCACTACTTTTGATCAAATCATTTTCCCGCTCAAACATCTTGCAATTGTCATCGTTAATTGCCTAAAATAGATCTACGGCAGGCATCTGCTTCTGAGCATCTCATCTCTTCTACTTCATCTACACATTCAATCCTCACCTTCTCTTTCCTTTCGACGACAAAACTCCCTCAACTTCGAAGCCTTCATCTATCTTCCAAATTGCAAATGAATCGGGAGCCCCCAATTTGTTTCTCATTTCATCGTCAACTTCAAAGGCCTTCATCTGTCTTCGAAATTGCAGAGGAACCGGGAGCCCC